CAGAGGGAGAAGCAGACTCCCCGCCGAGCAGGGAGCCCGATGCGGGACTCGATCCCGGGACTCCAGGATCATGACCTGAGCCGAAGGCTTAACCAACTGAGCCACCCAGGCACCCCTCTAGAGACTATTTTAAAGAGCTCAGTTGTGCCTTTATAGAGCTGCCTCCCTCGTTTGCCTGACCATCTTTGGATCAGGAGCGATTTTCTTCCCCCAGCAGTCAGGGTTGTTGTTGGCAAACGTGCACAGTTTAATTGGCACAGCTAAGAGTTTCAACACAGTCACCTCTGTTTACATATCTAGCCCTGTAGCTCTTCTCTTTCGGCGCATTAATTTATCTCGAAACTCTCATTTTCCCAGTTGTGAACACGTCGGCGTTACCTTCGCTAATGGTGATGGCCATTTTTTGAACGGGTAGAGAAAGGGAATGACGAAAAGCTTGATGCCTACCACGTGCCAGGCACTGTACCAAGCATGTAACATGCATTCATCGATCCTCCCGGACTTCAGGAGGTGGTATTCTCATGCCTCTATTAATGAAGGGGAAATCGAGGCTCAGCAGGCTTCATTACCTTGCCCACAGACAACTAAGTGACAGAGCTGACCTGGTCTTCCACCTGTGGCTGGAGAATCCACGCTCTTTCCCACCACAGTAACAATTATACACTTGCCTTCCAACAAAGCAGGCTGCGCGCCACAGGTGGTCACCACCCCCCCCCCGATGGCCCTATTTTAACTGCCCAAGGAACTGCCTACCAAGTGATAATGGCAGGAGTTCTATTACCAACCAGGCTACCTGTCTGAGAAGACTTCAGTGGGGTGCTGTCATGGAACCGCTGTGCTGTATGGGAGCTCTTGAGAAGCTGATCAGACGATCTCAGAACCCCCGGGCCAGGGAAACATTCTGTATGGCTTGAACGTGGAAAATGAAGTCATACTGTACTGGACCATCTGGTCTTAATTAAATATGCTTAGCACTCCCTGATCACATCCTCTGTCCCCCATTAAATGCTTATAGATAGACACAAGTGTTTGAGGGGCAACAGGCTATTTTACTAGGAAGGCAGTGGAGAAAATAAGTCCTAGAAACCAGAAAAAAGGTTTATATTAATCAGTCTCCAAAGCTGGTTAAGAACACATCATTCTATTTACAGTACAGACTCCTTTTCCTTTTCAGGATGGCGGTGAGGGGTGACACTTACGGTGTGTTGATTACCAGGCGGTCCCACTGCCCCTTGATGTCATCTTCAGAAGGCTGTTCAGTGATATACAGGCCATCGAATTCCAGCTTCCTGGCAATTTCTTTTTCCCTTTTGAATACCACCAGAGGGACCTAGGAGTGGGTAGGCATTGGTTACTCAGAGAAGGCTTTCTGATTACAGCGCCCTCTCCCAAGCATTCCCCACAAATTAGCCTTTTCAACTGAAGGGCGGTAATCTCTGTCTCTCACTTTCCCTCTCTCTCTTTTTTAAATGTATTTTTTTTATTAATCTCTATACCCAACCTGGGGCTTGAACTCATGACGCTGAGATAAGAGTCACATGCTCCTCCGACTGAGCCAGCCAGGTACCCCTGAGGCATGAATCTCTTTGCAGTAGGATTCTTAGGGTGCCTAGGTATAGATCTAAAGCCAAATAAATCTCTCTCACTCCTTTGGCTAATACGCCTCCCTCTCCAAAAAGCTGGTTTCATTTGGGCCACCCTTCAAGGTTTGGATTGAATAGGTGATAGTAATACAAACTGGACTCCTTGACCCATCCTGGGGAGAAGGCCACATTTAGGCCAGTTCCTAGGCCAAATAGGTTAGGTCCCCTAGGACTCCTAGACTAGAGTTGAACCAAGACTTAGAAAGGAAAGAGCTATTCTAGAGTGGATTGGGCAGCCACAGAAATACCATGGAATGTTCCAGCCCCCTTCAATGGCTATGGTCATATTCATTTCACGGCACTGATGTTTGGTTGATGAAACACGGTTTGCTAGCTAGGAGGAGAGGATTCACCGGGCTCTGTACAGCCTTTCAGTATTGAAGTTTTCTTCCTGAGAGTAGCACACTTGCTGGTTCCCGACAATCACTCCTCATTCTCTTCCGGTTGTCACTGTCATTTTAGCCTAGAGATGGTGGCATGGCTTTGATGACCTACCACCGAAAAGGTACACAGAGAAGGAGGGGAAAGTAATCCACTTCCCAACCATCACCAGACACACATACTTCAAATAAGGGACAGAGTTAGTGAGGTCAGAGGAGACTGCTGAAATCCCAGGAAGTGAGCAACCAGGGGCTCCTCTAGCCAGGAAAGCTTAATGCAGACAGAGCCAGGGCTTGTCATGCGGCCGGAAAGCCACTGGTTCCATGCGACATCCCTCAGGCCTGGGTCTCCAAATGGTTTCTGCCAGTGACTCTTTCTCAGAGCTCATGATATCCATATGCCCCACACTATTTCTTTATTTCCAAGAAAAAAAAAATTTAGATAATGATTTGTAAAGAGTTACTTCTTGCCCTTTTTTTCTTTAAAATGACAAAACACCACAGAGAAGATAAAAGACTAGCGACAGGAAGGTGGCAAAGGCTAATAATAGGCATTTGCACACTGTGAGGAATCAATGATCGCTGCTCGCTAATGGATGATGTGGGAGGGAAAGCAAAGGTAAAGCCACTCTGACTAACGACATCTGCTGTATTCGGAAAGGATTCTGAATAATAATAATAATAATAATAATACCACCACCACCAAGGGTTAGAGCAGTACTCATCTCCGGGATTTGAAGCACTCCCCGCTTCAGTCTCCTAAGGGTTTGTATACCCTTGTAAGGAGGACCTCCACATCTTTATTCCCTAGGTAGTATTTACCTTTTGTTTTCTCTAGGTCCCCGTTATATCTGCACCGAATCCAACAAGCTGAGCCCCAGGATGCTGGACTAAGGTAAACCACCAGCACGCTCTCGTAGTTACTATGTTTGGGGTTCTGAGTCCTGTTATACATATTACTTCATTTAATACTCCCAGCAACTTTTTGGAGTTGGTGTTATTATTATAACACTCATTTTTACAGATGAGCAATCAGGGGAATGGTGAGATTGGTGGCAGAGCTGGGAGTCCCACCCAGGCAGCCTGGCTGTAGACTCTGTGATTTCATCATTACAAAGGAGTCCTCAGTGTGGGTCAGGGCACGTGTTTGCCCCAACAGGGCAGCTAGACTTCCCGCAGAATACTCTAGTTCACTGGGGGAAGTGACAGCCACAAGGATAAGAATACATGTTGTGGACTCTTCCCAGGGGGAAGATGGCGTGGTGTATGGCCAAGGAGACTTGCAATTAAGAGAAGAAAAAAAATGTAATGAGGAAAAAAGATGTGGTAGCGTAGTAGCAGAACTGGACTTGGAACACCAAAAATAGGATAGCGGGAGTCATACGCATATATGAAGACTCCTATAAGCGTAGTAGTGTGCAAAGATGGCCGCAGTGAACTAAGTCTCCTGATATTCGTACCCTGGTGTGGCTCCCGCTCGCCTCCTGTGCGTCAGTGACTCCGGGCTGACCCTGTGACTCAGGGATGCCCTGAGTCTTCAGGGAGACAGAGAGGCCCAGCTACCCCGGCTGAGCCCAGCCTTCCAACCGTTTGCTCCCTTGTCAGCGTTGCCGGCGTGGGAGCGTGTCATCAGGGACAGTCCAGCCCAGCTGAGCTGACAGATGGTGGCTGACACGGCTGCCTTCACGCGGAGCAGAAGGACTGCTCAAGTGTGCCCAGTCGAGCCAGAGAACCAGAGAGAGAAAGTGATTGTCATTTTAAGCCACTAAGTTTTGGGGGCAGTCTGTTACCTAGCACTGGATAACTGAAACAGTAACTCATCAGTAAGTTTTCTTCTGCCATCTCAAGTAGTTGAAACCTAATACGTTTTGAAAGGTGAAAAGCATTTTTATAAAAATTCCAACCTAAGTTCAAAGATCAGAAGGAGCTCTCATTACGAGCCCCACGTGTGACTTAGCCTGGTGATTCTAACCCTATGAAAGGCAACAGGAAGTGCCTGAAAAGGGACTCCCAGAGCAAGGCTTCTCAAACTACTGTGAATACAGATCCCCCGGGAGGCATGCTGAGCTGCAGATTCTGATTTAAAAGGCTCGGGGTGGGGCGCCTGGGTGGCTCAGTCGTGAAGCGTCTGGGTCCTGGGATCGAGCCCCGCACCAGGCTCCCTGCTCCACGGGGAGCCTGCTTCTCCCTCTCCCTCTCCCACTCCCCCTGCTTGTGTGCCCTCTCGCTGTGTCTCGCTCTGTCAAATAAATAAATAAAATCTTTAAAAAATAAAAAATAAAAGAAAGAAAAGCCTCGGGGCGTGGCAAGAGTCTGCAGTTCTAGCCCGCTCCCAGTGATGGCAATGCCACTGCTCCATGAACCTCCGTCCACCAGCAAAGTCCTGGAGAACAAAGACCTGGTTCCAAATGATGTCTTCCCTAAGGAGTCCCATTAAATTCAGAGTGGCCAGCGACTCACCTTCAGGCAGTAATAGCCCACCACACAGAGTAAAGAGATGATGGTGTGGACAATGGCCAAGGCCCGCAATGTTGGTGCCATATACCCAGTGCTCTCCTGCAGGACAAAGAACACCATCGCTTCTTCCTCTTCCTCATCATTAAAGGAATTCCACAGGTTTGCAACGTCCTCTGTCTCTTCTTCTAAAGGTTCTTCAGTGACCTGGCCCAAGACACATACTCTCTTACCAACATCAGAGAGAGCCTCTGCAACTGGGCTCCCCCCGCCTCCCCCCCCGCCCATTTAGCTTGCCAGCATCTGCTGCACAGAGTAGTGATGCAGCATTACCTGCCGAATGAATGAGGTTTTACGGAACTTATTCCTAGGACTCTCCAGTATCTCTAATAACTACGAACATAATTTTTAAGAGACAAAGACGATCTCTCCAAAAAAACCCAAAAAATTTCAAAGTTAGGAACGCTGCACTACCTACGCCGTGATCCCTATGCCACAGCAGGTAATTTCTGAAACGCTGTGGCCTGGGGAGGAGGCTGAGACACAAACACACACGTGTACAAGTGCATGCACGTGTGCACACATGCACACTCAACATTCTCCATGCTTTTTTCGACACCTGTGACATTCATGGCTTCAACTGCCATTCCGACACAGATGGCCCCCAGATCCACACCCGTGAGGCTTCCCCCTGCAGCCCCACCGCTGGCTGGCTCTCTTCGCCGGGACGACTGTCCGCAGTCACTTCAGCCTTGGTAAGTTTAGACCCGAGCTTTGCCACACCCCTCTATGGGCCTCCATTTCTCCTCCACAGGCAATGGAAAGCCATTACTAGTTCAACCTAGTGGCAGGTTGATGTAGGTAAAAGCAGGTTTTATAAAAGTCAGATTGGTGGTTTTAGATAGAAAGGGAGAGAGGCGAAAGTTAGGATAGCCAGTTAAAGATGATGTCGAGAATCCAGAACCTATCATTCATGAATTCATTCCACTAACATTTATTATGTGCCTATGGTCTATGAGACCCACTTACCAATGTTCAAAATCTTTATTTATCTTGATCAGTCCCTCTTTTCCCATATCCCAAAAACCAACTACTGTTAATTCTTCCTTCATAATGGTTCTAACCTATGGGCCAATGAAAATGGCTTTCTGTTACCTTATCCTTTAAGGAAAGACCTATATTTATTACTCATTTTGAGATACATCTCAGTGCCCACTATAGGGTCCAGCATATAGGAGGTACCCAACACACATTTGGAGAGTTTATAAAGTAATGACTAGAACAAGCCTGAACTCTGGAAATAGCGCCCCAAATGGCTTCCCTGGCAAGTGGTGTCTCCACTCTCTGCACTGCTAAAGACCATACCCCTTTAGAAGCCAATGTCTTAGAAATTTCCTTAGATATTCACATTTTTGCTCTAATTAAGAGCATACATTCTATTATGATTTTAGAAAAGAATATAGTCTATTTAGTAAATAAGCCCTGAATGCAGTATCACCTTATAAAAGAGTAGGATGAAGTTGATCGCGAAGGCTACAAACAGAGCGAGGAACCTCAGGTTGTAGAAATTCCTGGCCAGGTAATGCTGAAAAGGAAAGGACAGGCAGGAGTAGAAGAGTTTTAGAAGGGAAAGAGACCTTCCTTCCCTCAAACAGAAGACCTTTTCTGGCTAGAAATGTATACAGGACAAGTCCTACTCGTTGATAATCACTCCTCTAAGACAATCCTGGACTTACAACTTATTTGGGGAGGAACCAGGGACACGGATTTAAAAAAAAAAAAATTGCTGAGAATGATGCTTAAGGGAACCCTGCTCTGGGTTACCCCTCAGGGAACCAAATGCCTAAACACATCACCCCAGAGGATTCAAATGCTGCTGTGAAGGGGTGTGTGTGTGCTCGAGCGCTTGCGCACTTTCCACTCAGAAAGTAGTGTATTTGGAAATTATGAGTATTCAAGCCCCACTGAAGAGCCCTGTAGCTCCCAGTCTGGAGGTAGCCAGTCTGTGGCCTAGTGTCTTCGTCCCTTTGTAAGTCAGAGCCTCTGCCTCTGTCCCCTCAGGGGGCAGCATTCCCACTGCCATCTTCCCCAGAAGAACTAGCCCTTGAGGACTGGAATGATAGCTGCTTGGGGAAAGCTCTCAAGCTCTCTGTGGAGGGGGCTCTCCCCAGTGATGTTGTCCTGGCCATCAGCAACTGTCCCTCACTAGGCAATGTGCAGAAAAGGACATTACGAGCTATGCTGAGAGCTGACTGCATGTGGAATAACTTTTGAGGAGTAATAGGTGAACCTAACATAACCATATTCTTTTTGCATCCCAGATGACCCAACTACTTCTGAATTTTGGACTACAATCAGCCAAGTCTGCACATGACACACATGAAGAACCAGCTAGAAAGAGGTATCTGCACCCTTCTGCGGACAGCACAGGGCATCCCGGGCTGGGTAGAGGGGCTGGAGCGCTTGGCTTTGCACAGGTTACCTTCTTCTCCTTTTCCTCCAACACACAAGGACCAGAAGATGAAGGAGAAGAGGAAAGGAAGAGGAATGAGAAAGAGGAAGAAGCATAACGACCTGAACAGTGAAACAGAATGTGGCCACTCGTCTGAGGTCTGAGTCAGGAGCGGGGCCAGGGCTGGAGCGCTTACCAGTAACTTGGTCTGATAGATTTCCAGCCCTTTGAAGAAATTAGCCATGAAAGCTTCAGGCTTCTCGACTTTCTGGCCCCGCCGTCGTTTCTTCTTCTTTGTCATGTCTGCCCACAGAGCCTCGGCTTGCTCTTCCTCTTTGGCTGTATCCTCCTTCTCCCCATCTTCCAGGCTGTAGGAATGAGAGACCCATCAGCACGGAAGGGCAGTGGGAGGCCTGGCCCAGAGAGGGAGAAAAAGAAATCTTGTCATTATTCCTGGAGGGTGGGAACTTCAAGTCTGTATCACCCCACAGTGCCTGGATGTCAACTTTGCATTTAATGACCAATGCCACTTTGAGGAGCTGCGGTCATAGGGGTGCGTCAGTTGTAAATGTGTTTGTAGTCCTCTTCTGATATGGGGCTAAACAAATTTTTTTTCCCTTCAGAAAAGTTGTCCTTTATTTTTAAAGACTGTTGGAATTAGTAATAGTACCTATTCTTCTAAGCTTGTGGTAGGAATTAAGTGAGATACTGTATAAAAGACCTTAGCACACTGGGCCACCTGGGTGGCTCAGTCGGTTAAGCGGGTGGCTCAGTCGGTTAAGCGGGTGGCTCAGTTGGTTAAGCGGCTGACTCTTGATTTCAGCTCAGGTCATGATCTCAGGGTCGTGGGATGGAGTCCCATGTCATGCTCCAAGCTCAGCGGGGAGTCTGCTTGAGATTCTTTCCCTCTCCCTTTGCCCTTCCCTACCAAACCCCCCACACTTGCACTCTCTAAAAACAAACAGAAAAAGACCTTAGCACAGACCGTGGCATGTAATATGTATTCAATATATTAGATACCACCACCACAATTATATGAAGTTGCTAAGTGTGGGTGTTCAATGACTTGTTTGGCCAGATGGTGAAATTCTGATCTTCTAGTGCAATGACAAAGTTAACATGGTTAATGGAATATGTTTATTGTACAGCTGGGGTAAAAAGAAGTGTGTCCAGGGCTTGCACAATACCTGTTTCTTGTATTAACAGAAATCAAGATTTCTATTTAGCACAGCAATACAACAATAGATGTCGTCAAGAACTACCTGCCACAGCACTGCAAGTAGCCAAAGTTACCGGGAACTTACTCTGTCTTCTCGGGCTCCATTCTCCCTTCTGTTTCATGTGCTGCTTTCATCTCTGCTGCCTGGACAAAAATAACAATCAGTCAAGTTTTCCTCAAATTAAAGAGATCACAGTCATGAGCCATATAGAGCACTGGCCATTTTCATCTCCTTGGTTGCACGTGCCCATGGCTTTCTCTCTTCGGAGTGCCTCTGCTTTCCTCAGGATCACGGGATGCAAGTGTAAGCCACTCTGGAGAAATGCCAACGCAAAGATTGCAAATTTAAAAACTCAGTCATCCTGCTATTATTCAACACCCAGAGAAAACTTGTGTGAGGACCCCATGGCACTGGTCCTACTGCCCCACGGGGTCAGGGAAGGATGGGACACAGATCACACCAGGTCCAATCCACAAGCTGCTTCCACCAGACAGAATTCCTGCCTTGTCTTCAATCCTCTTAACTACTACCCCAGTCCCTCTGACTGATGACCATTACACTTAGAATAAAATTCAAGCTCCTCAGGGAGGCCTGTAAGGCCTATGTGATCATGGCCTTTTTCTCCATCCTTGTCTTATACCACTTGACTCGTTACTTCCTACACCTAAACAGCCAGACCTCATTTTCTTTCCTGGCACATTCCAAATCCTTCCCTGCACCATGACCTTTGCACAAGCCACTCCTCTCCCTGGAGTATGACTGCCCTGGTCTTTCCTGGGCCTGCCATCCTTCAGGACTTGGTTCAGGTGACACCTTTTCGGAAGTCTCCTTAACCATCCTATTCATAGTAGGGCCCGTATTCACTTTGTAACACGTGGCCTTGTTCATTTCTTTCAGCACGTGTCACAAATGGTAATTATCTTATTGATTTGTTGTCTTCTTCCACTAGAAGTTAAGATCTATTAAAGCAAAAGTGTTGTCTCTTGTTAACCATTGTATTCCCATGGATCCTACGAACACAGCTGGGTATGTAACAGGCCTTGAATGAGTCCCTATTATGTATCAAACTGTCTGGGACCTGGGGCTACATCGGAGAGCAAAACAGAGTAAATAAATTCATATTGCATGAAGGCCTATGGTTCTGATGCTTCCATCCCAGACTCTTCAAAATTAGGGGAGAGTTCTCTCCTATACATTTTCCTTTATCTGGCATTCTTCCTTCCTAACATTCTTCATGCTTGTACTGACTTCCACAATGTCTATTTTTCTTCCACTAAATTACAGCAACAATGCACTTCTCACTCACCGCTGTCTTCTCAGAGCCCAAAACAGTGGGAAGCACATATTAATTATTCAATAAATATTAATGAAATGAATGAATAAAATTTGTCTTTGGCCTCTGATGTCTTTACACGTCTCTCTTTGATGCTAGAATGATGCTGTGAGTTGGAGGCTGCCATGGAGGGGAACACCCAGAACTTTCCATGACCAAGGGGCTCTGGATTACTGTTATTCCCTTAATCTAGTCAATTGACTCAAAGTCCACACTGGATAGTAGGTTCATCTCAAGAATGAAAATATTCCAAGCATGATGCTGGGCTAAAGGATATCATCTGGACCATTTGGGACACTGCAGAAGTACCATCTCAAAAGAAAGGTCTCCCCTTATGCTCCCTAGGTTTCTCCCACTATCTGAAAGTATGCTTTATGCCACTTCACTTTTATGAAAGATCCCCATCAGGACCTGCCTATGCTAACTGCAAGAAATCAAAAAAGGATTTTTACCTTTATAAAATGATAAATGCTTCTTTGCTTTATGCCATTTCGGCTTATGACAGGTTTTTATAGGAACACTCTCATTTGGGTAGTGAAGGAAACCTCTCCCTGGTGTTCTATGCTTTCCGTTCACTCACTGAACCTGTGCACCATGAGGACTAACCTTCTAATAAAGTCGTGGAAGACCATCAGGTTTGGCCTCCACAATGTACACTGAAGACCACTCAGCAACTAGACCCTAAGACAACCCTCTGAGTCTTGCTCTTCCCAGACATGGCAGAGAATTGCAAGATCAGGGTACAGAAGGGCTGGCATCTAACACGATGTTGGTGCCTAGGGAACTGGTGTCAGAATGGACAGCAAGTCCATTTCTGGGCATAAAGAAGAGATGACAGAAACAATTTGTGCTTACCTGTGCTTTCCTTTTCTTCTGGACGGTACTCTCTAGCGTAGGGGGTTCATCTTTGCCAATAATCTCAGAGAGGTCACCCAAACCCCCTTCGGGCCCATGCTTTAAGCCACCTTCCTTCTTTGGGTGGAATCCAAAGAGATCGGACATAATATCTGCATCTCCCTTGTCACCCTTCACAAAGTGAATTAGTTCAGGTGGCACACCTGGCTCAGTCACCTCTGCCCGCTCGGCATCCAGAGCATCATCATGGATACCAAACTGCGTTGGGTCAGGCATGTCACCCAGGATCTTGGTCACTCTGATGTTCTTTGCCCCTTCCACTAGGCCCCCTCCAAACACTGTGTTCCAGAGGATCTGAAAGATTCCTCCCAATATGGTGAAGAACAACCGGAAGAGCCCCACAAACAACATCCAGAAGAAAGAGAAGAACACCTTCACGAGCTCCTTCACGGTCATCTTTTTCACCTTCCTGTACTGCTTCCTGAGGTTCTTCAAGGTTGCCTTCTTCAGGAAGTTGGCAACATTCCTCTTCACTGAGGCATAGGCCATGGCAAACGCAGAGGCAGACTCAAAAGACTTGGCATCCTCCTCTTCACCCTCAATTTCTAACATATAAGATGAATCTTCATCTTCTTCCTCCTCCTCGTTGGGCCTGTCTGCTGAGTCAGATTCGGAGATCTGAGAGGCTAACTGCATTTCAAAGATGGTATCCTCACAGAAGTTCACAAACAGTTCCATCTTTTCCTGTTCTCCACCTTCATTGACCACATCAAAGATGAACTGCCGCTTCGATTCCTTCACTTGGGGCTTCTCCCACTGAGTTCGACTGGATTCACTGATCTCGAAATAAACGCGCTCAATTTTCTTGGCCCCACCCATGATCTCAATGCGTCCCAGGTAGGGTTCGAAGTAATTTAGTACGCTTTCTGCTGGGTCCAACAGACACTTAAGGCGAGAATCATTTGGCATATGTTCGGAGAGATTTGTCAGTAACACTGCTACATTAAACCCTATGTCCTTGGCCGGCTCATGGAACCGGTTTACAAAATCAATGTAATTAAACATATCATTCTCATCAGCTTCTGCGCACGAAAGGAGAAAGTCAATCTCTGACTGTGTGTACTGTTTTTGCCCTTCCATGGCCTTCTGGAACTCTTTTTTGGAGATAATCCCTTTACCATCTGGGTCATATTCTTTGAAGGTGTCTGAGCTGGTTAGGTCTTTAAGTTTCAAGAACATGTCAAAGAATTTCAAGATCATTTCTACATTGGTAGATGACTCTACCAGGGTGTCAACCATCTGCTTGCCAATAGTTCCATTTACCACATTCCCTGTGAGGCAGGTTCAAAAAGACATACAAATATATAAATAAACCCAAGTCATCATGTAACTGGTCAGGTAGCTATTTTTAGAAAACTTGTCTGCCCAATCAGTCGGCTCTTTTCTGACCGTGATGGTTTGGAAATGGGTAAGAGGGAGCAGCAAGCCATAAAGACTACACCACTAGGAGCCAAGGGGGAAAGAAACAAAGGGAAGAAGGAGGTGGCCACGCCAGTCCCTTCTTTCTGGACTGGGGCCTGGGTAGTGGTTTCATTATCAGATTACTGGGGACACATAGGGATAAGCGGTGCCCCTCTTATCCCCTTAGACCTCGTAGGGTGCCCAACTAGATGGCTGGCATACACACTGGCAGCCAGATGTACTGAAAAGCAATGGGGAGAGGGAGAGGTTAGGGAAGAGCAAAGCTTGGAGGTTTTCCCCAGTTCATTCTGGCTTTCCTATTAACATAAAATGAGTTGGTTTCAGGCTTTGTCCATCAGACCATGTGCCCCTCACTCATTTTTTGCTTCTGAAAATTTGGTTTTCTAACCAATGTCATATGGCATCAATGACCTGCCAGAAGGATAATCTGCATGATTAGTACGGTTAGTGCTCAGACCAATTACAGTTGTGTGAATGCCTAGTTATACCAAACAGCCCAACCTTCCAGGAGGGACAGAAGCATCACCACCATGTCCTGAAGGAGATCCAAGAGTTCCTTCAGCAGCTCGATCTGACTGGAATCCTAGAACAGAAACAGGAGATACCCCTGAGCTATCTGATCCCTGAGCAAAGTTTAGGGCAGTGAGCAAGAAGAGCCTGCTCTGGAAAGGTTAGGTGAAAGTCGTGTCCATTGTGCTTGTGGACATCTTATCATCCACTGTTTGTAGCATTGGGGAGGCTCGCTGTGGCCTGACTCATCCAAGAGAGCTCCTTTAGTTTCCCTTGTATTAGTACAATGTGGCAGACATACTACTTGTTGTCCGAAACTACTGAACAACCCAATCCACCAAAGAGCCGTTAGGTATTTCTACTAGTTCATGTTGTTTTTTATCCTGGACAATGATCAGGTGAGCTTTTGGGGAATACTACTGCAATCCAATTAAGGTGTCAAGGTTATAATCCCCAAGTGGGTTCTCCTTTCTTTCTGGGCTAGAGTCTCCTGGTTCTAGTTGGTGGTGATCTGGGTGCCACTGGTCCCTTAATATGTTACAGAATTGAGACTATTCCTCTGGATGGTTTTGCTACTAGTCTGTTTGGTTTTCATTTTGGCCTTGCAGACAGGGCATCACCAAGTTAGCTCTCTGTTTTAAACTCAATGTCACAGAAGGAAAAACAACCCTTGGATCATCTGAGGTGGGCAATCTGAGGGTGATATTTAAAAATGTGCTCTGGGCCACACTTCTTGTACAGATTCTCTCTCACAAATACAGTTCTTTGTTGAGTCTCTCAACTTTCAGAGGGACTGCCCCCCCCTTCGGTGTGGGTCATAGCTACACACGGACTATCACAGAGGTGCAGAATACGAAGAGCTGGAAGAGATCTCAGATCGTCTATTCTAATCCCCAAGATTTCACAGACGATGGACCCAAAAACCAGGAAGGGGGAGTGACTTCCTGAAAGTCACCAGCGAAGAGGTAAACAGGGCCAGGCTCCTCTCTCCAGAGCCTCTCCACTGCACCGGCCCGGCTGGGCTGACACAGGAATGGACGTATTACTGCCAAATTAGCAGCGCTCCCAAGAACTCTCTCCTCCCATAAGGCCAGAGTCAAAAGGGGAAAAATGAAAGGGTTAAATAGCACATTCTACAAGAGAGGCAGATGTGACAGCCTTGAAAATTTAGTTACGCGTTACTTAAATTAATGCTGCAAATGTTCCTCTAATCAGCCTGAAACACATCCTGAAGTTCTCCCTCATGTGTTGCCATGGAGAGAGGCGATCGACAACTATATACACTCCATTTATTTGTTCATAATAAATGCTCGGAGCGATTCTGATTCATCTTGCCAGAGAGATGGGGAGTGAGAAGGAAAGGCAGCAACGGGGAGGAAGGGGAAGCCAAGGTGAGAGAGGAGGGATATATGAATTACAGAGACATGCAGACATTTGACAGACCCAGAAGGGGCTGGTAGATTGTCATAAATTGACACAACAGTGACAAGCGAAAAGGATGGGCATCATAAAAAGCGAGTGTTGAGGCAATTATGTAAAGGGTAGGTTGGTGGGACACAAGGAAGGAAGCTGCATCCATGCAAAAGCCTGTCTAGGACACCCCTGGAGCCATTCGTTCCTGTCGCCCAGTGAAGCTCTCGGGTGTAAAAGTGAGACCTCATCTGCATGGCTGGTCCAACCATTTGATCAAGCAGCCACATCCACAGGGGGGAATACCAAGGGGTGAGGAGTGATTCAGCATTTCACATCAATGACACAGCGGGGAAGGGCCACAGTACCTGAGAGAGTTTCATCTGCATGTTCGCAAACACATGGAGGAAGCCGACCACCGCGTCCCACAGCCTGCTGTGAGCCAGACTCTGTTGGTTCCCAATGCAAGGGCCCTATGGAGAAGAGGACATCCTTATTTCATGGAGACTTACTTCATCACGAGCTGCTCTGAATCTCGCCCTAGTCAGTGCACAGGACACCTGCTTCTATCAGCAGATAGCTCCTTGCAAAAGTCACGTATTTTGTGGCACACTATTTTCCCAGGGTATTACTTTTTGCCCCCCATCATAGGGACCTATGTCTAGGAAAAACCACCAGGAATTTCACAGTGCAGTGGTTTCTCAGAGATTTTCTTTTAGCTTCAGAATGCGTTCTTCAAATAAAATACTACAAAGAAGAATATTATTTAGAGTGAGATGCACTCCTGCCCACTCTTACCTCCACCTTGGCCTAAGAGGGGTTACGAGGAACTCCAGGCTTCCACAATTTGAAAAGCAGGCCCTACTGTTTTCAGGCAAAGCTATGCATAACATGCTATGGTCACATGGCTATCTACTCAAGTAAAAAAATGTGAATAATATTCCTAATGTTCAGGGGCGCCTGGGTGGCTTAGTCGGTTAAGCAACTGCCTTCAGCTCAGGTCATGATCCCAGGGTCCTGGGATCAAGTCTCGCATGGGGCTCCCTGCTCAGCGGGAAGCCTGCTTCTCCCTCTCCTTCTGCTTGCTGCTCTCCCTGCTTGTGCTCTCTCCCTCTCTCCCTCTGTCAAATGAATAAATAAAATCTTTAAAAAATATATTCCTAATGTTCAACTACCTTTAGGATTTTCTTATAACTAACCTAAACTTTAGGTACAATATCATTTGTACCTTTTTGGAAAGCCATAGAGGGATGACTTCATTACCAGTTTTCATTTCCCATCTTAATAACTTTTCCTATTTTTATACATTGAATCAACATTTAAAAAAATAAATCATCTGGAATTCTTCTACCTGGGAGATTTGTCTATTCATTCTTATATACGTAATCATTTATTTACATTAATAGGGACTCCACATATTCATTTTATGCTCTGGGTTATAATCCAATACTACTCTATTTTGTCACTCAAATTGTTCCAGTTTTGGTCCCTGGGAGCTCTTTTAGTTGGCCCGGGTCCCTTGGACATACGCCCATCACTCTCTCTTCCCTGCCACGTCCCCCCGCCCCTGGCATTTCCTTGCACTATAGTATTCTCTGGGTCATCTTATGTATTCCCTGCCCCAGCACTAGGACCAGCCCTTTCTCTAAGAAGCCTGGTTCCTCTCACTGGAAAATGGTATTAGAAACCCAGATCTGGGGGCGCCTGGGTGGCTCAGTTGGTTAAGCGACTGCCTTCGGCTCAGGTCATGATCCTGGAGTCCTGGGATCGAGTCCCGCGTCGGGCTCCCTGCTCGGCGGGGAGTCTGCTTCTCCCTCTGACCCTCCTCCCTCTCATGCTCTCTGTCTCTCATTCTCTCTCTCGCAAATAAATAAAAAATTAAAAAAAAAATTATTGAAACCCAGATCTGGGTGCCAGTTGTGCTTGCTGCTACTGTGATGTCATTACTTTAAGACCCTCTCAGCTGACACGGCAGCAGATATGTGTGTGTTATACTAACCCACGCGTACGCAACGCATCTAGAAACGTTTCCATATGTAAGTATCTGTATCAATACTAAGTCCAACTGTGAATTTAGCATACTGATGTATCCAACTCTAATGCCCTTCCACATGGGTCATCTAGCTTCTTCTTGCTTATCTATAACCATTCAACAGTGAAACCTGGCTTCTGCCATTTAGTAACTGCTCACTTCCATTATATGTGTAAAATGGTTGCAGAATTATTAACACGTATCCCTACGGGAAAAACTTCAGCAACTAAAGTGCTTATGTACAGTTCCTTTTGCCTTTGGTCTTACAGTCTGTATTCACTCCCAAAGTTTCTTAGGTCAGTACCTTATTCCCCACCCCTTCAGCGAAATCGTTTTATATATTTTTTATACCCTTAGATTCTTCTGTCACATTCTGCCTACATTTTTCATCCTTAACTTTTCCTTATATTTTGTTTCTACCCTTTAACTCATCTCCAAATCACTCTTCAATAATAAATTTCCAAAAAGAACACGGATACCATCTCAAGTTCTAGAAAAGGGCTGGCAGAATTCCCAGGGAAGAGGGCAGCATGAGAGGTATTGCCTGCTTTCATAAATCATGTAAGCTTGTTTAAAAATCACTGTTTGAGGGGCGCCTGGGTGGCTCAGTTGGTTAAGCATCTGCCTTTGGCTCAGGTCGTGAACCCGGGGGTCCTGGGATCCAGTCCCGCATCAGGCTCCCTACTCAGCGGGGAGCCTGCTTCTCCCTCTCCCTCTGCCCCAACCCCCTGCTTGTGTGCTCTCTCTCTCAAAATCTTTTAAAAAAATCACTGTTCGTGTACCTTTGATGTCTAACCCCTAGAAGCCTCTAGATTCTTTTTGGAACAAAACCAGTTGTTGTAAGAAACCCACATTCACTGAAAAGAAGCTTCTTTTTCACTTTTGGGTTAAGTGCTCCAAGGGAAATTCTGAAGATTAGGATGGCTTCCACAGAGAGCAAATCAAATTCTTGTCAGATCTGTTCAATGACCTTCCCAGGTATTTCAGGTTCTGTGACACTTCAGATCAGTCACCTGTTTCTATGGTTCTCTCTCCAAGTTCTTACAATCCTAGGATTGATCTCTCCCTTAAAATCTTCCTTTTCAAGTTGATAGTCTTAGTTTTGTGTTTCTTTTAATAAACAAATATGATCGGAGTGTGCCGGTTGACTCATTAGATGGTTTTTAAAAAATCTCATACTATACCCCAGAGGACTGTGATATGGCTACTGATTTCATAGCAAATTATGCCTGAATACATCCTCTATTCCTTTTCACAGTTGTTAGACCACTGTAGGCAATGACCAGAGACTGTTGTAAACAGGTAAAGAATGCTGTGAGATCTAAATATTCAACTGGAATTTCATTCTAGATTCTACTGCCATTGGACATAGTTTATGTGTTGCTAAAGTCACCTTTTCCATAGAGTTAATTTCTGACAAATTAGTAGGATCTCATAAGTTCTTAATTTTGAGACTCAAGATAACATCTTATCCCTTTATTCCTTCATTCTAGTAATTATTTCTCCACTCTACTCCCCATGCTTACTGAATATCTAGGATGTGCTGCATGTGCTAGAAATGAAGAATTTTAGATCAGATAAGAAATTTTCTGCCCACAAAAATTTTCAAACCAGGAGGGAAAGGAAAATATAACTAGATAAATGCAAATAGAGTGTGAAAATGCTATGAATAGGTCACAGTGAAGGACCATAAACTGTAGCTTCTCCTAGAGAGTAGTACTCTTGAAATACTCTTCTACACTTGGTTCCTATTTGTAGATACATACTGTCAGTGCTAGGGCTGGATGCACAGTCCATATAATCATCCTAATATTCCATAGGGGATATAGAATATGGGAATGTTAAAAATGTTCTGTTTTCAAGCATGCATTCTGCAGCACTTACCTGGATGTATTCTGTAAGAGAATTGAAAATCTGCTTCGTGACTGCCAGAGCTTTGGAAAAATTGTGCTGTCCAGATTCATCAATGATGTCCTTCCCTGAATAATACCAGTAGAAATCACTGATTGATTCCTAAGAACAAACAAGGAGAGTTTGGTATTTCTTAACCTTCAGTCAGTGAAGCTAAAACCCAAGGTTCAGGAAGAGTATAAGAGAATCCTGCATTGCTATGACCTCTTCATTATGACAGAAACCTAGGAAAAAGCCCAGAGATACCTAATCCCTAGCATCTCTGAAGTGCATATACTCTTCTAAGAAAGAGCAGATAGAAGAGAGGATGGTGTTCAGCTGGACATGGGTGACCACGATGTAGGACAACTTATTCACAATGAAAAATATACATTAAAGGTAAAAATGATTATCATCCAACCAATTGGCACAAGAGCAGCAACACAAGAGCTAACACTGTTAAGTGCCAGGTGTTGTTCTGACCCACTGCATATATGACATCTCTCCATCTTTACGACCACCCTCTGAGACAGGTGCTACCCATTCTACAGATGAGAACATCGGAACACAGGGCCGTTAAACAGATTGCTCCAGGTTACAACTGGTAAGTGGCAGAACCAGGAGGAAGACTTAGCAGAGAGAAGAGAGAATCTTTTTTTTTTTATGTTTGTGTAGATTTTCCTGATATTATTTGGATTTTCCTTCAAACAGTTAAACTGAGTGACCTCTACAGAACTAAGAACTTGTGGACTCATCCTATTCCCACCACCGTCTGCACTTCTTTTTCCTAGTGAAACTCTGTTTTCATTCATGTATTGCAGCTCTCGGGCTCTGTGGTGAGGTTTTCACTGGCAAAACTGAGGTAAATAGGCATTTTATACTAGATGATTGGATATTTAACCACTCCCCCATTTCAGTCTTCAAATACACATTTTTAGGCATTTGACTTCCCATAAGTGTGCGGACATAGACTATAACACCATTCTTATTGGGGCTTGACTGAACCCTGGACCTTCCCTGATCCCATGTAACTGTCTTTAGCTTCTGGAAATGTGTGTGAGCCATGCCACTGTCCAAGACCCACTGACCTGCAGACGCAGGAGGTAGTCCACGGTACTGATGATGATGTTTATGGTGGTGGTATTGCCCATCTGAGTCCGCAGGAAGTTCTGAAAGTCTAAAAACACCAGGGCTGGGTCAGAGCCTGCTCTCATCATGCCGAGGAAGCTGGGCAAGCCCTGTTGGCTAAACTCAGAAGAGACATACTGTGTGAAAAGCCTTACAAGAGCACCCTGTTTGGGTCCTGGTGGGTCCTGCAGGACAGAGTTCTGCCCTGAGCCCTCCCATCCTGGTGAGACCAGAAAGTGGACTTAATGAGCTCTGAGGGGCTTGATGGAAAGGGGCGGGTGTTTAGATGTACCATCTGAAGATTCTGGAAGCCACTCAGCCTGGGTGGCACTAAATAACATCAGCCCTGAAGTTCAAGTTGGTTTTCCATTGAGGTTTTTTTTTATTGAGGAATGGATTAACTGTTGTCCTTGAGTCAGCAGCTGGTTGTATGAAATGTGGCATCCTGAGCTGAATCATAATTTGGCACCTGAATGTTGTTTTCCTTTGACAAATCAATCTGTTCCACTTACCACTGTTATGTCCTTCACAAAGTAACTGCAGGAATCGAAAGAGATCTCGTGTAAACTCATCATTCTGGAGTACTTTTTCACCTTGAAAACAGAAAATTAGTGAGCATTTGTTTGGCTTCTCAGCCTAGAATACTTTCCAAAGCAAACGACTGCAAAAATGACAAAGGGCCTGCGTCAGAACAGTTTGGAAAGGGAACTTTAAATGAAGGGGGAAGACTATGGACTCTGAGAAACAAACTGAGGGTTCTAGAGGGGAGGGGGGTGGGGGGATGGGTTAGCCTGGTGATGGGTATTAAAGAAGGCACGTATTGAATGGAGCACTGGGTGTTATACGCAAACAATGAATAATGGACACTACATCAAAAACTAATGATGTAATGTATGGTGATTAACATAACATAATAAAATTTAAAAAAAATGAATGAAGGGGTAAAAACCCGATTAACCTGGAACCGAGGCTACAGAACACAATGACCAACCAAGCTAAAACAGTGAGCCCTGGGATGCATTTGTAAGCAAACCAGCTAGGCTAATGGCAGTAATGGCTCAGGGTCCAGAACCCATGCTTTACAGATGGAAGACACTTCTTTAAGCATCAAAATGCTGAATTAAGCTTCACATGCAACACTACCAAGCCTAAAAATGTATCTGCACTGCAGCAATTAAATAAGGTCCCTTAGGACTCACACACATGGTAGACAACTGGGGCCAGAAACTCAAACTTACCACGCTCACGAACAATGACTGGTGATAAGAGAAAAACAGAAGAATGCAAAGTAAGAAAAATCATAAACACCATGATAAACTGTGTCTAGTTAAGGCTGGCTCTGTGAACACATCCAGTCTTTATCAAAGCTACTGATGGGAAGATTTTGCTGAAATTGAGCAAGTCCTTGCAGATTAAGAAGCACTGAGCAGGGGCTCTAACCAGAAATAGTTAATTATGGTAATCAGGAAGAAAACGGCCTTCACATTTATTAGTTACTTACGTGTTCCTTCCTCAGTAACCATCCCCAGGCCTTCAGCTTTATTCTGCCTTTCAAATGCATTCAAATCAAGGACACTTGTAAGAAACGAGAGAAAACAAGGTTCAGGGCTATGCACACTGGGAAACTGGATTTCTGATGTCAGTGTACCTATTGACTAAGAATCTTGTTCTTGTGTTATCATAAATGGTCTACACAGTACAGTGTGGTTGAAAGTCTAGCAGTTCCCTGGGTTTGCATCAAGAGTGTTGTCCAAGGATGCCTATAGCTCACAGGCATGCACGGCCAGGGGTCAGAAGAACTTAGAACGACTGTCCTTGTTTGTCCAGTCTGAGTCCTTTCTTATGCATGATGATTTAGAAAGGTTTCCCAAATAAAGAAGGAATAATCTATTTCTATGATTTCTCAAAAGAAAGTTTACTTTAAACTGCACTAATTAATGTTCACCTCCCACATTTATCTATTTTCTCCACGAATCACAAGGAATTGTGGTTTTAGTGCTCAGGATGAATACTGATGGAAAGGGCTACAGAGTTCAGAGTCCAAAGGGCCACACCCTTTTAGAATTCTTGTATTATTCAGAAGCCAAGAGTAGTTGAGATTAAGCCTTCTGGAGGCAATGCTGTCCCAGAACCTGTAACAAGCTAGCCTTTTTTTTTTTGTTCCCACTTTCTCTGAACTTCCCAATCACAGCTGCCACCAAATCCTACTTAGCCAGGAACCCCTAATACAACCACAGAACTTGATAAGGAGGACAATGTATAATCATATACATTGAGGCTCATTCTGTTTCTCTAACAGACTCTAGCTCTTTCCCCAATCTGAAAGGCTTTATAGACCATAACATGAGGTCTCACAAAAATATAGCTGTTAGGGCAGCTTATGGCTGAACCCATTAAGATTCTGTAAAACTTCGCCTTTCCTTTACCACTGGGCAAAGGAAATGACCATTGGATTGGAAAGATGTCAGGGAAAAAAACCAGCATTTCTTTTCCCCTTTTAGGGAGCCACATATCTTCTGCAATTTAGATGAATTGTAAAGAGAAAACAGTGAAAAGTCCTATTGCCATATTGTTGTTTTTTCCCAGATCCTGCTGTAGAAATGTTCTTCTCAATAACACAAAACCATCCTTCTATTTTAGCTTTGCTGTCAAGAGATGAGAGCAGGGAAGTAGGACCTTTGGACAAAGGTGCTTCAAAGGAGCAGTTCTGATTCAGGAGACTATCTGGGGGAACAGATGTTTCTGACCCTTACTCCATTCCAAAACACCCATTTCAAATGTTTTAATTTCTCTAATGTTTCAATATTTTACCAATATGTATTACTTTTATAATCAACAAAAATCATGAAAATATCTTAAAACTTGTTAGTACTCACTGGCCTCTAAAGGTATGTCACCTGTCCCTCTAAGCCATAACTACAAATGAGTTTAATAATATGAAGTATTACAGACTACTGAGAACACTTAAATATTTAATTGAGAATTTCATGTGCAATATGGAACTGAACTGTCTCGAGTTTTCCCATTCTGCGTCCACATGTACTACTTTATCTTCAGTGAGTCAGGCCTCGCAATATTACATTTCCTTTTCCTGAGAGAGGTAATAAATGAGTTGGCTGTTGGTGGGGAAAAAATGGAGCTCAGAGAAAGGGATTGTACTGCAGCTCAAATATGTTCCCTATCACCCCAGGGTACATACAATATTTACTCCATCAAACAAGGTTAGCAAAATTATGAAGTCCACCAAAGGAAAGTATGTCCATCCTGCAAATTTTTAAGTGGAAAACCTAATGCTCTATTTTTAAGAATATTAATTAGATGCAAATGAGCTAGATAATTATAACTGTGATTTCTTTCAGAACGAGTTACAGACTATTCAAAATACATATGAACCTTAGAGAATAAGCTGACACTTAGTAAGATTGCTGGCTTGTTTCCAAAATGAGTAGGCATGGTAACCTTATGACTTTTGGCTACATATTATTCATTTGTCAGGGGGTCAGCCATGAGGGGAGGCTTACACACATGATAATAAAAGTAGAAAGTTTAATGCTTTGTTTTTTAGGCTATGGCAAATTGTTCCTATATTAGGATGTACCTCTGTTGAAATGGATGTGTCAAAATATGTACCCACCAAATACTTATTCAGGCTCAAAGAACTGTTAAGGATGAAGATTAACAGAGGGCCTAATGGGTCTAACGAAAACATAGCCTTGAGTCATACTGAGGTATTCCTCCTCTTTTCCATTCTTTTCTGGTTTGACTTTTATGAGCATATATGTTAGGAGAAACACTCAGCTCTGAGGAAAACGACATAACAAAAAAAGGAGGTAAAGGTGATTAAAAAACCAAACCAGGTGTGTGTATCTGTGTCTGTCTCTCTAATGGAGATTACATTGCCCCTTCTGTATGGTATCTGAATGTAATCCTGAAGGCTGGAGGAACCATACCCATCTTCTTAGCTTTCTAAAGCAGGCGAGTCCTTCCTCAACAATTCCATGATAAGCTAGTTTATTTTGTGGTCCCATCCCTACCCAATTCCTCTTTCTTCTGAATAGAAAAGAAATGTTGTAGGTGGTTTTCCCATATTTACCTGCAAGACTGCATAAGACCAGAAAGGCTTTGAAAGAATCCAGCATCCTTTTTCTCCTTTAGGTAATCTAGCATTTTCTACAAGAGAGACATATTTTAAAAGGAAAAGCGATGTTAAATTATGCCACAAGTATTGACCCTCCCAATTGCAATGGTGAAATGTCATGTCCCAGTAACATGGAGTCATATTCAGGGTGTTGGTTTGTAAAGTTGGGTAAGCATAAGAACCACCTGTGGATTTAAACCTTCCGTGTGCCTGAGTCCCACCCACCCTCTTCCTATGGAACCAGAATCTCTTTGGGTGGACATTTTATTTTATTTAAGTAATTTTGGACATTTTATTTTATAAAGGTCCACTGGTATTTCTGCTAAGAGCAGTACAATAGATCATCGACATTCATAGATGTACTGTTTGAAGCCTCTCCCATTTAGGAACAAGCACCAGGACTGTGATCTAGTAAAATGTTTCTGAAGTATAATCTGAAAAACTCATGAGCTGAATTTGGTGCACTGGAGCAAGGGAGCTTAACCAGTAATAATGCTAATTTGAGAGCTCAGTATCTTTCACAATCAGACTTTGTTTCCTCTGTTTTCTGTTACTGGGAAGGAAGGAACTTTGTCTGACATCATAAAAATGTTTTTTTTTTTTTTTTTTTAAAAAGGTCCTGCAAGAAAATCAACTGATGGGGTGGCGATAGAAGAGAACAGAAAGTGAAGGGTGTTTTAGAAAATGCTAGTTCTTTCGTGACAGATTTGTTTGGGATGAATTAAAGGCTGGGGCAAAATATATGTAATAGTGGTGGTTATAAATTTGGAGATTCTCATGGGCCCTGTGCTATAGCCCTCACAGATGCCAAGAGTCTTTGAAATGTCACTTTCCGTGCACACAGAGGCTTTCAGCCAGAGCCTGGAGTGCCCTGGAGACACCAGAATATTCCTGTCTCCTGCGGCTAGTTTCGGTTCAGACTGTTGAATGGATGCCATGTGCCAGGAGCTCCACACTATGTTTCTCTGTGTTATCTCACTGAATGCATGGTGGCATTCAATGTTTAGCTGCATTATTCACTGCTACACCCTCCATCCCAGAACAGAACCTGACCTTAGTGCATAGTCAGCAATCACAACACTGTGACTGAATGAATAAACAAACGAATGGACAGACAACAGGTGTTTGGGGCTATGAACTCCACTTCACCGATTGGGCTCCTTGCTCACAGTTAAGACAGCTAACATGTAAAATGATTAAAATACAAACCTAAGGCTTAGAAAACTTCCCTTAGAGCCTCTCCGTGCAAAAAATCATCTAATGATGAAAAAACTAAATGTTTTTCGCTTTGAACCCCGGGTAAACCCTCTTTGTCGAGTACGCATTTGTCTATAAACTCTCGGCTCTGGTTTTATCTGTGTTCCTGGCTACTGATATAATTAGCCACTAAGGACAAACACCAGCAAGGGTGATTCTGGGTGGCCCCCTCTGCAGCAGAGCCAACACCTCTCCCCCAGAGCGTGACAGCTGTCCAACGGGCATACCCTGAGAAGTCTGCATGACCCAGTAGGAGTCCCCCATACCTGTTGCACACCAGCGTTGCCCCCATTCAGAATGGCGATCCCCAGCTTCAGAGTCTCAACCACCATGAGGCTCATCTCACCTGCCATGGTGAAGATTTGATTGAATCACCAAGGAAACAGGGTAAATCACATCTACGGGGCTTTATCAGGACTTTTTAATAATGACTTCATGTCATAGCATGCTGTCTCTGTGGGAGCGACAGGGGCCTACCCACAAAATCATGGAATCACCTTTGCTGGCGCTTATCATCTGAAGGACCATCTCTGCGGCTCCACGCTCATGCAGCCGTGCTTGTTGGTAGAGGGTTTTCTGCTTTTCCATTTCTTTCTCCTGGAAAAAAAAAAATAAAGCAGGGAAAGATTTGTTTATCCTCAGGCCATTTGCCATGCTAAGGTAAACCAAGAGAATCTTTACTTGCACACATAATTTCGGATAAAGAAGACTTCTGAAGTTGATTTCCAGACACTACGTCAGCTTTCCAAAACTGTCCACCCACAATTCACTCATAGTTTGATGATGACTTTTCTACTTTTTGTACTGGTAGAAAACATAGCCCATTCCCCTGTAACACTCTCATTCTAGGAAGTGACCCCAGGTTAAAATGTGTTTGTTTTCAATGTTTTGTCATACGGGGAAGCCTGCTGAGGGGTCAACTGAAGCCTATCTGCCTGAATGTAGAAAATACCCATTTATCTAGAATGTTCAGATCACCGTTAACAGAGACTCTACTGGATATGGAATACTAGACTGCCAAGGCCTTCCAGAACTGTAATTGTATTAATTTACTTTTACTTTTACATACTTTGTCTATCAAGAGAGTACCAATGAATTAATACGTTTTTTTCTTTTTTATAAAGATTTTATTTATTTATTTGACAGAG